ACTATAAGGTTTATATATATAATAAAATTGCTATAAATTTCAATATAATACAATTTTTTTAAAATGAAGTGAAATAAAGTTATATGCGAAAATTGACAGGCTATCCTACTTATCACTATCTAATCTTAGAGTAATCAGTCTCCGCACGGGGAGGTACACAGATCTAAGATCAATCACTGAATAATCATGAAGCATGAGATGGGTGGGACCCTATAGTACCCCCAGCTATCAAAGAGTAAAAGTGCCCAGTTGCGCTGACTTGAAAAAAGGATCAACATACATACTACTGCTACTACTACTACTACTAGACTGCTTTGTCTAAGTGACAAGGCACAGATAGTCTTGGCTCTCATGACTAAATTTGAGCCGACATATTTTTTTCTCTCATTCTCAATTTTTTAATTTGTATTGAAATTAACAACAATTTTGCTCATGACACTTTACATAAAATGATCTTTAGTAAAAACATATGATGACGTCAAACGCAAACTACTTGCTAGTTTTTTGTAACTAGATATAGTACTAAGAAACTTTGTTATGTACTTGCTTTTTATAATGTTTGTAATAATAATAAAGATAAAAAAGATATATAATATTTAATAAACTAAGCTGACATTTCTTAAAGAGTGATAATATTTTATAATATAGTATAATATTTAATAAATTAAACTGGTAATTTTTTAAAATTGATTTTTAAAGTCAATTATGATTAAAGAAACTGTTTCTTAATAGAAACTAATTTACTACTTTATTTTTATTTTAATAGTGAGGTTTTTTTGTACAGTAGCAAATCATAACAATAAAATTTTATTATTTTTGCTGACCATACAGCTCTTTTGACTATTAATACCTATCATCAGTGATCTTGGATATATTTCCTATATTAATTATTCATTAATAATTCTTTTAGAGTGTAAGTATCAAGGATTAAATTTGTGTCTTGCCAAATTTGAAGCTCAAAGTCAGTGTTCTTTAGCCAATTGACCTAGAGCCATATAAAACTTGTATCTTTAAACTTGGAGTTTTGTTATTTTACTATTTATTACTATTTTTGAATAGTAGTAAATCACAACAATAAAATTTTATTATTTATAAGTTAATTGACTTTTTGGCTAACCATACAGCTGTTACGAGTATTGCCAAATTCCCATCAACAGTGATCTTGGATATATTTCTTATAACTAATTATTCGTTAATAATTCCTTCAGATTGTGAGTATTAAGGATTGAACTTGTGCCCTTCCAAATTTGAAGCTCAGAGTCAGCGCTCTTTAACCAATTAACCTAAAGGCATACTTGACGTGTATGTTTAAACTTGCTAATTTTTGTTAATTTATCAGAATGAAATATATAAACCAACTTTAGAATCATGCAATTAATTAATTTTAGTTCTTTTTAATTGTTAATTATATTTTTGAAGTTTCTTTGTTCTACTCGCATTTTTTTTTGATAAATCCAAAAATAATGTAATCAATTCTATTAGTTTGTAAGATTATTATTTTATTTCTAAAGTTTATAATTATTTTTGCATTTTAAATAGAATATTTACTTACAATTTCTCCATTTAATATTATTTAAAAAGTAAACTTTATTTTATTTAATTAAATAATGAATAAAATTAGAATAATAAAATTAAAATAAGTAATAAATTGTAAACAAATTCAAAAGGAAATTTTATAAGTGAATATTTTCATTGTCATAGTGAAATGAATTCATTATACAGTATCCTGATAAGGCTTTGCTAAAGGAAGCTTTAGCATTTATATTGTATGAATGAATGGAAATGTCCATTGTGTGGCTAAGCAGACTTGGTTTGTGTATTCAAGTAAATTCATAATATATTGTAAAATATGTAAAATAGTTGTAATATAAACACTGACTAACGAACACAGGACACCGACCACTACTTAATAACACCTCTGGTGTAATATAATTTAAAATTCTCTTTTAATTACAATATAATTCAAATTTTATTATTTCATTAATTGTAAAAATTAAGACAGCAACATTAACATGATTATGTGAATTATCTTTTGACATGAAGTGACCTTTAAAAAGCAATAACAATGGCAATGGCAATGGCAACTGGCAACTGGCAACTGGCAAAAAATCCGCAACAATATAACAACATCAAGACAATGGCGGCAACAACAATGACAACATAAATTACAACAATTATCTGTGAGCGTCAACAACATACCACAGCAACGTACTGGCGCTGCTGGCGTGTACGAGTACTTTGCCGGAGAGGATATGGAAAATTATCAGTCAGTACAGTTACGGATACGAAGCTCTGTGTTCCGTGGCCTTTCACTTTAATCTTTTCGTTCAGTCACTGAAATGGGTAATTGCCTTAATTTTTGCCGATTTAAAAATTTTTTCTGTGCTTTTTTAAAAATAATACTCGAAGTGTATATTTCACTTTATCAACTTTTGTTTCATTCTCGTATCTTTTATGCTTTTCAGTTTTCAGTTTTCAGTTTCAACTTTTCACTTTTCACTTGCTTTTGTCCTAATTTACTTTATGCTACATAAAAGATTGCAGCGAAACTACAGAAATTGAATATTAAAAACAACATTGCTCCTGTGCGAACGGCAAATGGCTGCTGACGATTGAAATATATAGGAGCCACTCCAGCTTCTGAATTTGCATTTGTTGTGAAATTTGGTTTTAAAAAATCCTCCCGCAGGTTTGTTATTTTTTGCTTTCGTATTCCCTAAAGGAAAATTATTTCATTTTGATAGGAGTATGAATGAAGACGAATTTGCATCCAATGAAGTAGACTTTAGCGGCAAAAATGGTCTTTTGAATTTATTTAGCACAGCCCAACTTCGCTTTATTCGATTCTATTTAACGCCAATTTAATGGAAGTTGTTTAAGTTGCTTTATAAGTGCATTCCACTTTGATGTGTCTGAACCCAGTTCATTAAGTTTCTTTTAAAGTTTAAACACTCTGTTTTTCAAAAATCATTGATTTATGAACTTCACGTTAAATGTTTAACTTTCAGACGCGTTTTGTATACAAAATCATAAACATCATTACTTAGTAATTACTAAAGTAATATAGTAACACTTTGAAAATGTCCAATACGCAAATATTTTAGAGGGACCAATGGGTCCCAAGGTATTAAATTGGTCTTAGATGAAGTATTTATTCCTTTGAATTTTTTTAAAATAATTGATTAATAAAATTGAGATGTAAATATAGTACTCTTGATTTTAACGTAATAGCACTAATCTAGTCACCTTAAAATTCACACATATATACATATAAAAAACATCAAGCCGTTCTCAAGCTTAAATGAATCATATTATATAAGTAAAATATACCAAGGCTATAATTGCTTTATTCAAAACCGAGGTGCTCGCAGACCACAAATTCCAAACATGGTACTAGGAAGGACTTCAATGTGGTTTATTGTATTAACGCTCCGAACTCTATTTTTTTTTTGTAAAGTACTTATACATTTATTTATTGTATCTTCTCTTACACTGCGACTAACAAGAATTCTAAACTTAAATGGATACAAATAGCAAAAAAAGCACGGCAAGTGCTTTGAATGGTGTCATTTAAAAAGTACAAAAAAAAAGCGACCAAACACCTGAAACTTGATTACGGAAAGTTTGTATAGCCTTGGTTACTTGTGGAAAACTACGATTAACCATAGCTTCATCACCTGTCAACATGAGTTCTAAGCCTGGACTTGTAGTCCAAACAAATTATATACGGACTATAAAGTAATTAAAAAGAAATTTGAATATTTTCTAAGACCCCTGATGCTGAGTGCGTGGCAATACTGAATGAAATATCATAGTAGGTCTTTGCAGGTTATTGGGATACCAGTAATGACGTTCAAAAAACTCACCCGTTCAGCAAAGCAATCATATCATAAATATAAAACTCAAGCTTGCACGCTTGTTGAAAAACAGAACAGATCCGTAGAGTGGGCAAAAGGGTTTATTATAACCTGTTAAAAAATGGAAAAAAAAACTAATGTCATAAGGAAAAGGAAAATTCAACGAATTATAAATTAATCTCTATAAACTAACTATAACCTTTGCAATTATGTAGAGTAAGAACTTGGAGTGTCTTCATAAAGGATTTAGTACTAAAATAGTCTATCCGTGTCTATACTTACTGTAGTGTTTAATAAGCATAGATTTACATTATAGTGGAAGTAATAGTTTGCCTGAGTAAACAAGCACGTTCAAGCTGAAATAATTACATATATGTACTCAGATCATAAATGACTATAATATATTCAGACTTGCCAGGCAGCTAACATATACGTATCGTTTTCAAGATACTCTTTAAGCAGGTTCCGGAATATAATGATATTGGAGAAGGGTGACAAGTTGCTATTTTTCCCTATGCAGAGACGTTTGAACTGCTGTTTCTATTAGTTAGTCATTGTTGAAGTGACTAATAGTCTAGAAAAACGAAAGCAGGTATAGAATAATGTAGACAACACTTAATACGACAAAATTAAAGAAATTGTTAAGCTTCCCAAGTGAGAATCTATCAAAAATTATGATTTCCACAACTTGTCAGTGTTTGGTACTTTTGCTCTCTGGGTAGGAATATCTTCTTATGTATACTTTTGTAGGAACGAGAAAAGAAACAATAGTGAACTACTTATTTTTTGGTTGTCAATATTTAGCTAGAATAAGAGCGCGGTTCTTAGCGAATTATGCTTTAGTAGTCTCACAGACTACTTTTTATTAAGGTTTCGAAATGATTGTATAAGTAATAACAGCTAAGATCGGATGTTAACCAGTGGTTCATATTGGATGCGCAGAAATTGACTGTTTCGAGAGTTTAAGTTTGCGAGCGATCTATAGTGTAAGATAACTTTGTATACATTATTGAGTTTGGTTCAAAATTTTTATTACATTTTTTAAAAAATTTCACTCAATTTCTACTTGTTGGTCATGCTAAAATTGTATATTGGAAACAATTAATAAAATATGTCAAATATAATATAAATCTATAAATAATATTTAAGTAATTCTCATATATATTTCATCGAAATTAACTGTATATTACAATGTTTTAAAACACTTTGGGCTATTATCTATTTTAAACCGTCATAATAAATTCGCTTTTGAAAATGTCTATGCGAACGGAGTCAGAACATCATTTATCCTATCAGGCACATCTTAGGCGAATTAAAAATGCACATAGCATTGTGAAAACTAATCCACCGATTAGAAAGAAACTCGAGAAAAAACTTACCTATTTTGAATTACTTGAGAAAATGAGTGGTAACGTACAACGTAAAACAACATCGCGAACATTTTCAAGAACTCCAGAAGTTATGCTCAATCAGCGTAAAAGCGTACCAGTTCAAGGTAATATCAAGAATAATGAAACTCATAAAATCAAAAGTGATATCCTAGCGACTAGGAAGCGTTCAGTCTATGATGTACCAGCTCATATCTATAGCCGATATGATTATTTGGCGGACTCATGTGACAAACATCAAATGCGTCAACTTTTACGCCCGAGAATATTTTTGGATTTGGAAGTAAAGGGTATACGTTCATTGGGTCGATTGGTTATACAATTATTTACAGAAGCTTGTCCAGAGGTAGTATTGGATTTTGTGCGTGTATGTACCAAACATGATGTAAATAAATTTAAACCATTTCGATTCTTTGCACCTTTATGGTGTGAATCTGAATTACAACTTGATAATAACTCTCTTACATCCCCAAATGCCGAGCACGATATGAATGTTCTGGATCAAGGTATGGGTGCTGGAGTATTATCTTTTCCAATACGATATATACGTGGTTGTGCACATCGTTCTCTGAATTTCTCTATTAGTTTTAAACCTATTAAATCGTTAAATGGCAAACGGATTGCCTTCGGAAAAGTGCGACGTGGTAATTATGTGTTACAAACGTTGCAGGACTATTGTAATAGCAATTATTGTCTCAAACATGATATTATTGTTACTAAGTGCGGCTTGGTTAAATAATATAGTGTTATTTTAACAATTTTGGTACAAAAAAAAAACTAAGTTATGTCAATAACTCAGTTTTTTGTTTGAATTAAAATTGTTCAGTATTTGCTATACAAATGAATAAAATCTGTTTATTTGCTGATAAGAAATATGTGTGCTTTGAATATTTTTTTTTTTTGATTCATTTAATTCATTTATTCTATTACTTCGATTTATAATATTGCAGAATTTATGTATTTAAAATTTAATTCAATGAAATCGGAAAATTGTATTAAAATATTTAAAGTAAATTTTTGCGTAAGCCTGTAGGAGAATTGAAAGTAGTTAAGTAAACAAGTCTCTTGTTTTTATTTATAATGAAATTTTAAACATTGAATGGTATAAACTGATGAAAATTATTATATTAACAATTGCATTTTCATAAAAACATTTTCTAAGTACATATAGAATAGAAAAATATTTTTCCTCGAACAATACTCAATTGAATGAAATCAATTTCTGCGTTGTTTTGCCATGTAAATAAGCCTTAAGGATCACTTTTTCTTTCCCATATTTTCCTTGAATAACACAAAGGACCTTCCTGCAATTCCATCCTTATACTTGGAACATTTTTTCAATTAATTCGGTTTGGTGTAGAATTGGTTATGAACTGCTTCATTGAATTTTTCCAAGTTTCTTATTCAGCACATTTTCCCTTACCAATTTAGCCCACAATGTGGCACAACCGAACATTTTCCAGAAAGTTTTTCACACTTTGGTCTTTTAATTGAAAAATAATTGCGTTACTAAAGCAAATTTACAACTGAACTGCATTTTTTTATGAAAATTTGAATTTATTTAATTTGAAAATGTAATTCATATATGGACGATTTCATAAAATTTCAAAAGCTCTAAATTATCATAATAAAATAAATATTTATATTCGAATCAAATTATTCTAATGTGAAACTGAATTTTGCTTATTAACCGCAATAAATAATTTAGTGCATAAAGAGCAAATATCAAATTGTGGTAAATTTAGCAAATGTTTCTGATATACCATACTATATAAATAAAATGAATATGTAAATATGTATTTACATATATTCAAATTATTAAACATTATCAAATTTAAAATAATTACAGTTCTAAATTATGGAATTTCATACGGAATGCCAAATTTATTGCAGAATTTAAGGTAACCTAAAAAGAAAGTATTTGAAAATAATATTTATTATTGTTATTATAATTAAATAATGGGTTATGAAGCAATATCGACCTAAAAGATCAATTGTGCGCCTAAAAGTACAACTAAAATAATTCTAGACTAATTATAAATCTCGTTATTGCTGTGGGCTTAATTTTACCTATTTGATTTGGGAACTAATATTTATTATGTTCAGGTCTTATGTTGAGTCACTTCAACTGAGCACTTTTAATCTTTCTGTACTGGGGGCTTCTACAGAGTGCCTTCTTTCTCTTTGACTAATTTATGTATTCCTCACAAGCTTTGCTGCATTCCTCATAAGATCTGCATACCGCTCCGTACGGCTAGTGAATATAAACCTATTTATTTATACAAATGGAAATTATTTTGGGATTATTTTTATTTTCAATACAATTAAATTTTCGAAGTGAAAACGAATAATATTAATAACGAAGGTTGCATAGTATATGAATAAGTCGGCAAAGAACTATAAGAATAAAATATAATAAAAAATAAAAAAATATAGCACGTACTCCGGATACAAAAAATGGAAAATGGAACTTTGACCACGATCAGGTTTATTTTTGGAGCTATGATCGACACTAACTGAACAGACAACACTCAGCCCTATAATAACAGCCAAACTGTCATACATTGAGGATTTTGAAACAAAAAATAGAATCTTCAAGTGATGGGTACAAAGTAATGAATGTATTTAGTACTATAACCGATACTTACTAAGCAGAAACGAACACCTCTGCGATGAAGTCAAAATGTCATACATTGAAGATTTTGAAAGAAACAAACGATCTTACAGTTGTGGGTACAAACAGTGGATTATTAAGATCGTAATGAATTTTTTGTGCTATAACTAACACTAATTAAATTGAAGACACTCATCTCTACGGTGATGTAATACATAGAGGATTGTGAAAGAAATAATGAATCTTAAAGTCGTTGGTAGATAAAGTGGAACACTAAGATCATGGTCATCTTTTAGTGGTACAACTGACATTTATTAAGTAGAAGACACTCAGCACTACGATGTCATGGTTACAAAGAATGGAACGATATGATTAGATATACGATAAAAGATTAGACTGATTTTTTTTGTTCTAGAAGCTAAATTTATAAATCTGAGTAACACATTTTGAGTTAATTGCAGTCATAAAAATAATCTCGTTTAGATATCTGGAAGTCATACCTAAATCAGTGTATTGTTTATCAGTCGAGAATGATTACTTTAAAGGTGAGAAAAAAAAAGTTGATCGATGGGTGTTTTTGTCTTTTTATTCATCTTTTTAAAATAAAGTAATGCCAAAAGTATATAAATTAAAAAAATATGAAGTAATTGATCACCTCATCACCTTTAATACTACATCCATTTAATTAAGATTAAGATTTATATAATCGATTTATCTTTTTCTTGATTTGTCATTACCATATACGCTAATCAAACCACTTGTAGGTTAGATAACAAGTGGTTCACAATTACCGCACTATATATTTTCTGAAATATTCTATTTATATTTCACATGTTCGTTTATATTATTCAGGGGATTATACTTGGCATCATTATGTATGTAGTGGACGAATCAGAGGAATATATGTGAATTTTCAATCTTTTTTTTATAACATTTTTAATATTAAAGAATATTTGCAGCTCACATTCACATACATAAGTATTGCTGTGGTTGTTTCATATTTTGGATTTAGTATTATTCTCAGTTAAAGTTTTATACATTATCAAATGCTTTGCTATGTATGCATTATGCTAATATTCTAAACTGGTTACCACTACATCTGGTCTTTAATATTAATACTTATTGATCATCGAAATGTGTAAAAAAACATCAACAGCCGTAATTTTAGTGCAAAAATGAGAATCAGTGTTATGTACTGTATTTGAAAGCCTGTTAATACCTTCTGAATAGATTGGAGTGTGATAGAAAGAATATGGTAACCTCGTGTTAAGGAAGGTTTTTATAATCACGCTTTCAACAGTTTATTCCGAATGTTTGGAATAACTGAAGTTTTGGTAAAATTGTAAAATCGTTTAATTTTGAATACTCTTCAAAACGAATGTTAATATATAAGTTTGTGAATATATATTGATATATTTTAATTTATGGCTTGAATTATACAAGAATGTAAAGCTAAGTATGCCGCAACTAGTGTTTTGTTATGATTATCATTTTGTATTTAGTGTTTATTTAGACACATACGCCGCGACAAATGTGTCTTTATAGATATAATCTCATTGTAAATTAGTATGTATTTAGGCATATATGCCGCTATAATATATTATAACACAAACCAAAGAAAAAGGCAATGAATTAGTACCTTATCGGATAAGTAATAGCTGGTTGGTTGATTTTCTGTCCACGTAGTACATAGGTGCAGTTTTGTAGATATATAGTCTAATATGGGTTTCTAAGTAAAAGTAAAAGCTAATTGGAATATAAAATAACATTTTCTTTTATCTAAAATGATTGTAGAAATATATTGTTTGCAAGGCTAGTATTTCTATATAAGAACAATTAATACTTTTTTTGATTTCTGATGATATTTAGGTAAGCTTTTATTAAGTGTCCTGCATTCGGCTTAGAAGAACTGATTTTCTCACGAAGTAATAAATTTTATTTTTGTTTT